GTTCAGTTGCAGCCTTGGTTTTCCTGGTTTGCTCCCTGCGGGACCGGACCAGTGCAGAATAATCTTCCTTGGAGGATTAAGCTTGTGTAATGTCATTCTATTCTATATAGACTGAAGGGCAACATCCAGATGAGCGCAGACATTTGGTTCCCCAGGAACAAGTAGCAGTGGCACACTTTGTGTTGCTGCTGCTTGTCCCCGGGGAAAACCCATGCCAGACATGCTCTGGCGTGCAGCTGGTTACCCCAGGTGAGGTGGGGGAGGTTGGGGCCAGCAACTGTGCCAGCCCCAGCAGCCTTACCTGAGGTCCTGGGGAAGCTGTAGACATGGCAGTCCTGCAGCAGGAAATCTGGCGAGCAGCCAGAGTGTGGCTCTGGCCAGCCAGGCTCCAGTTTTGGGTGGTATGTGCTGCTGCCGCATCTGCCACACCACTTTTTTTCCTGTGTGTTTTTTTTCTTACCCCAGGATCAACCCCCGCCCACCCCCACTGCAAGGTAGCAGTGCAGGGAATGCCTGAATGTGCAGTGTATGATGCTGCAGACGTATCTGTGGTGCCACATACTGCATGGCCATGCTCGTATGGAAGCAGCCAAGGAGCTGATAGGGCTGACAGAAACCTACAGTAGAAAATCCCTTTCCACCCATTTTATTAAAGTAAGAAAAAGAGGCACCATTTTGAAATTTCTGAATAATTAAGGTTAGTTCTGTGGTTTGCATTTTTGCAAGAAGGATGACAGTAAGTCTTTTTTAAACTCTTAACTCTCATAATGCGAAGCTCCTTGAAATGTGACTCTGGGTCAATAGGCCATTTTTTCTTGTCAAGACTGGAGAAGTGAAACAACAGCCAAAGCTTGTAATGAAAAAAAATCTGGCATCCCCAAATGAAAATGGGGTCAGCCATAGATACATTGTTTACCTAAATAAAATAAATAAAGCTGAGAGTCTGGGGAGTGGACACTGGATTGTAGGGATCTCTCCTTCGTGTATTTCTGTAAGACAGGGTTACAATTGTTCGGATTTTTGTGTACGTAGAGAATGCACGAACAATAGGCATCACTCACTTTGCCTAGTACTGAAATTCAGCCACCAGTGCAGAATAACATGAGAACAGTTTGAGAGGAAGTGTGGAACACTATATTCAACTGAAACTAATTACCTGATTAGATTTTGGCCTGGATGTCAGGGTTGACATCCAATGGTCTTGGCGATAATACCTGCAAACAAAGCCAAGTCTAGTCTTTTTTTTTATTTATTTAAGGACTCCAGACAAAACTTTTGAACTTGTATGCTGAAAGTTAAGTATTGCAAAAATAGGCTACATATATTTAAAGCCCTGATGGTTCCCAGGCCTGTCAATAGGCACTTGGCACCTTTGAAAACCAACATGCTTACTGGCATTCTAATTTAAGCATAGGTTGACCTTCTTTAAATATAATGCAAAACCCAGCTTTCATAGCATCTTGCTGGATCCTCAGTATGGTCTCAAAAGAACATGTTATCTGTAGAATTAGTAACACTATCCCTGCAGTTTCAGATTTTCCTCTTAGAAGTGTATCATCCAAAGACTGGGTTGATGTATTTCTTCCCAGTTCTAGATAGAAACCATAATAACCTTACCCAAGAGGTAAGGTTACCTAGTCTGACTTCATACCGTACCTTTTTTCCACCCACCATCATAAAAAGGGGACCTCTGAGTTCAAGACTGTTGCCTCTTCTATAACCCCTTCTTCCACCTTCTCAGTAATAATCTGTTTCTGTCTCTCTCTGGTTTTGAAGATGGCTTTGTAACTTTTTTTTAAGCTTTCCTGTCAGAAATCTTTGTGCAACATTCCAAGTGCCTGAAGTGTTTGGATCCTCTACATGTATTTATATAACATTAAACAAATGGTTACTGTTTATCTCTGGACTGTTGTAAAGAGACTAAGCAGCTATTTATGTTTTAGGAGAGATTTTTAGCTTTTCTAGAAAAAACGTTATTTTTTCAACTACATGCTATTACTTAAGTTGCAGCCCATTATCATTGGTAGAGGTATGTTTAAGCACTGGATACATGTAGACAGCCTTGATCACTGCAGAGGGCATTTGACCTGGATCTTTCTGTTTGGCTGGAAAATTCAGAATTACCTTCACCTTCAACAGCGCTTTTCTCCTCCAGTCTCCTCTCTTATACATAGGAGGCTGAAATAATATCTCAGATATGTTGTGAAGCTCTGTATAGGTGGCCTTGTTTTCTAAGGAGAAATGATGTTTTGGAAGAGTTGCCAACTAGATCAAAATATTGGTCCACAAAATCAAATGGGCAGTGTCTGACCTTGACAGATGTCCAAGAAACTCAACAGATGCATATGAAATAGTCATTGCATTGCAGAAAACTTTATTCCTATCTTCTCAGTACAGTTTATTAACATCTTTTTCCAAAAAAATAAATTCTACATATAAAAAAGCCTATTACTTTTTTAGTTCTTTTAAACTATTTGCCTAGAATACTGTATGGTTAACTGTGTATTGTGCCAAAATGTTTCTTCTTGGTACTCTTGAATTTATCACTTGTTATCCACTGGATCCACCCCATCAATATATGTGTATTTATTCTTAAGGAGACATCATGAAACCCAAGAAACCTGAGAAGTAATATTAAGGAGGGTACTTTGATAAACACTACTTAATACCTAAACTGACTAGGTATTATAGGTTGGAATTGACAAGGTTTGGATCCCATGGCTTCAACCAGTGACAGGAGAATTCATGTTATATAACCTTGTTGTTTTGGTTTGTTTCCTTTCTGAATGAGGTCATGCAGGTGAGTGATCAGAGGAATGGCTGAGCTCCTCTGACTCCTGAATCTTGAAAGCAATCAGTTTTAGCATATATTTTTGTACCCTGACATGTTCCATTTGGCCAATAAAAAGGTCAAAGCATCAAATTTTGAATAGACAACAATAGTGAGGTCTTAAAGCAAGGGATATACATAGTTTAGCCTTGCCTTCTAGTGACCAGAAACTTCTGCTTGGTGGCACATTTGAGGTCCAATGAACTCTAGAAATTACCCAGATTCTAAGAGAACTAGATGCCTCGTGAGTGCTATTAATATCCCAGCTCTACCGAGTGTGGTGTCTTAACTCCATTAGAGCAGGTAGTAGATGTATCTTTTCCTCTAAAGCACGTGCATAAAGTATATAGTGAAGTTAGCTAGAAAACTTGGTGAATAATATCTAACTGCTGAAAAGGTAGGCAACTCTCTTTTCAGATTAAATAAGGGTAACGTATTTATATATGTATTTTCTAACTATTACTTACATTATTGTTGCAGGATGATCTGGAAACTTGTCTTTTCCATTTTTCTGGTGGCAGCCTTCATTAGAGTAACAGAGACCAGGAAAAACCGTCCTGCAGGAGCTATTCCCTCTCCATATAAAGACAGCAGCACCAACAACTCTGAAAGGCGACAACACCTAAACAAAGAAGTACTGGCCTCTAGCCAGGAAGCCCTTGTTGTTACTGAGAGGAAGTATCTTAAAAGTGATTGGTGCAAAACACAACCCTTGCGGCAGACTGTCAGTGAGGAGGGCTGTATAAGCCGTACCATCATCAACCGCTTCTGCTATGGCCAATGCAACTCATTCTATATCCCACGGCATGTGAAAAAGGAGGAGGAATCTTTTCAATCCTGTGCTTTCTGCAAGCCTCAGAAGGTTACCTCCTTCACGGTGGAGCTGGAGTGTCCCGACATGGATCCACCTTTTCGACTCAAGAAAATTCAGAAAGTTAAGCAGTGCCGGTGTATGTCAGTGAACCTCAACTCAAGCAAACAATGAGAGCAAGGATGTGGCTGCTGCTTGGTGTTACCACATCAGATTTGCTGTTGCCTCTCCTTTCCCATGAGCACACTTATGGGCTGGTTATTTTTTTTTCTATCAGGAGGCATCTCTCCAGCAGGGAAGGATTTCTGTCACTTGCCTACTGGAAATAAAGCTTATCCTGGGCTATATTAGGCACCTTGCCATAAAGCTTCAGTATATCTATCTCCAATGTAATCTTCTTATTGAATTTTTAAGGGTGGAGCAGGCTCCAAGAATTTGGGATTGATCTTCCAGGTGACTGATGGCTGAGTCTGGCATTACCATTTCCACTATGTGGAAAAAGCCCTCTGCCCTACACTCCAGTACCCTCTGTGTGAAGAGGAGGAATCTTTTTATGGCTCTTGGTCTTCAGTCCAGAACTTTTCACTTTGAAGTGCTTGGTGCTGTTGTCTGAGGCTATGTGATGCAGAGACCGGACACAGTACTATACTATAAGAAAGTGAGAGTCTCTAAAGAGCCTGATCGTGATAAACCAAGGTGAAATGTGGAATGATGAACTGTCCTAGGCTTAAGAGTGTGAGAGAGAAAGCACCAAGGTGGAGGGGGGGGTGTTAGGTCAGCCACCACACTTGCTTCAATAGATTGAAGATATAGTTCTTTGCTGTTGTGGATAGAATATATCAAACACATGGTCTCTTCTGCAATGTCTATTTTGTAACCTAGCTATAGTAAACATCTGTTTAAAGTATTATAGACCTAGCCATGTATATTTGTCTCTTGTGGTGGAAACTCTGGAGGCTAGATTAAAGCTTCTTGAGGAAGAGACTTGGGTGCTAGGTCAGTCACCTGACTTGAAATTGACAGAATTCGAATGGGCTTTCAGTAGATTCAACATTACTTTTTTTTTTTTTTTGAACTCCAAAAAGGACTGTGCACCATCCAGTTATTACTTTGTATTTATGCCTGCTTGGGGTTTGTGTTTCACTTAAGTTATTAAAGCACCGTAGCACATAAGACAGACTGTAATCATTGTTGAGTTGAACACAAAAGTTCCCATACATGTCAGTCAAGTTAAGACTTTTGGGAGTTAGGCCTGGTGTTTTCCATATGTGGAATGGAAATCAAGTAATTTTTCTATTGTCAGCAGACAAAACAATTAGTAAATGCCATAAGAATGTGTCACTGCTATAGAAGTGAGGAAGGATCGCTCACACTTCTGTAGAAACTGGGAGGGAATGAGCTGTTGTAATTTCTGAAGCACTGTTGACCCATTTAATTTTTGGTATAAAGATATAATAAATCAGTATTGGTAGATTCTCTTAGTTCATTTACAATCATACTAAGTTACTTACTTGGCAGAGTTTAGTGTGTCTGTATATTCAGTAGGTTCCAGTTCAATTAATTTTCTGTGTTTTTAAAGAGGAGAACTTTAAAGTAACTGGTTGCTAATAAACATTTGAAGAGCATACAAGTTAATAACAATGACAAGTGTGACCTTGTTGCATGCCTCAGAGCTTAGCACATACAATACTTCTTGTTCAATTAAACCAGCTTACTATGGAGCTCTTCACTGCCAGCTTCTTCAGATATGATCACTCCAAGGGGTTAAAGTGTTCAGGACTGTTGCCAAATACAAGTTTAGTGGCACAGTTCTCCATTATGTGAGACAGGCTGCTTTAAGAGGCTTACAGTACTGATCTCTCCTAGATCTCATCAATCGGTTTACGGGGATTGGCACAGAGAGGATGGGGTTGAGCAGGCATGTTATCCCTGCTACATGAACAGCTATGTTGCCTGTGTTTGTTACACAATGTCAGGGCCGTGTAGGGAGACTCCTAGCACAGCACTGGCTTTAGAAGCTGTTGCTGTTGGCTGTATGCCAGCCAGCCACAGATTGGGGACTACCAAATCCAGACTGTTGGACTTTATTGATCAAAATGAAAAGGGCAAGATAGGAATGCCTGCAATCCATTAAGACTCCAGGGCTATGAGACTACCCTTGGAGAAAAGCCACCTAAAACCATGCCCTTGCATCTAGGTCTAACTAGAAAATGCCCTAGTACCTTCTTCATTATATTAAGTCTAAAAATCATTTTAGGTAAAATGTGCAAGGATTCTTACTATGTTTAAGCTACACCCAACGTGGGCTTCTCACCAGTTTGCAAAATAAATATGCTGCAGCATGAAGCTCCTCCTTGGGGCTTTTTATGTAAAAACTGAGTTGAGCTTGTAATGGTTAAAACTGTATTTAATTCTTGTTTTATAAATGAAAACAAAATGAAATTCTATAAGTATAATGTAATTATTTTATAGGTCTGCTATTAAATTATAGAACAAATAAAGATACTCTAGGGTTATACGGTAACCCGGTGTGCGGGCTTTGCTTCAGACTTCAGTGTCTAAGTTCTAGGTGGGGCTCTACTGGCTTGTTCTGGGTCCTCAATGTCCCTTTTTCTATTGCATCGGGAGCTGCACTGCCTCAGGAGCAGGTAGGAACAAGACTGTGGCTCAGCATTCCCCTAACTTACTCACCTGGTTTTGATGCGAGGAGGGGAAGTATAGAATCATAGATTCATAGAAAATGAGGGTTAGAAGGGATCTCAGGAGGTCATCTAGTCCAGCCCCCTGCTCAGAGCAGGCCGTCCTCAACTATATATTCCTAACAAGGCGTTATCTAGCCAAGTATTAAAAACCTACAAGGATAAAGATTCTTCAACCTCTCTGAGTAACTTGTTCTGGTGCTGTACTACCTCCTCATGAGAGAGCTTTCCAAGCTCAGTTCCCTCAGCCTCTCCTCAGAAGGCATATGCCCCAGCCCCCTTAACCATTTTTC